AAAAAAAAAAAAAAAAAAAGGGAAAAAATCTGGGATTTTTTTGGGATTTGGATTTTGGGATGTTGGAATGCCAGGGACGAGGAAAAATTGGGAAAAAATTCCCGAAATCTGCCAAAACTACTGGAAAAAAGCAGAAAAAAACCCCAAACATGGGACAAAAAAACCCACCAAAAAATGGGGAAAATCCAAGATTTTGCTGGAGTTTTTGGGAATGCTGGAATCCCAAAGAGGTGAAAAAAAACCAGGAAAAAATTCCCAAAATATGCCAAAGCCAACAGAAAATAAAGAAAAAAAACCCCCGAAAATGGGACAAAAAAAGCCCAAAAAAAGGGAAAAACTGCGGAGTTTTGGGGGATTTTGGGGAATTTTTTGGGGATTTGTTGGGGATTTTTGGGAAGGGTCTGGGAGGTGGGAATTTTGGGAATTCTGGAATTCCGGGTACCTGCAGGTATTGCTCCAGCATCCTGACGATGTGTTTGTCCCAAAAATGGGATAAAAACCCCCAAAAATGGGGGAAAATTCCAGAATTTGCTGGAATTTTTTGATCCCAAAGAAGTGATAAAAAAAATGGGAAAAAATTCCCAAAATGTGCCAAAAAAGCAGGAAAAAAAACAGGAAAAAAACCGAGAATGGGACAAAAAGAAGAGAAATTGTGGATTTTTTGGGGGGATTTTTGGGGGATTTTTGGGGAATTTTTTGGGGATTTGTTGGGGATTTCTGGGAAGGGTCTGGGAGGTGGGAATTTTGGGAATTCTGGAATTCCGGGTACCTGCAGGTATCGCTCCAGCATCCGGACGATGTGTTTGTTGTTCAGGACGCTCTTGGCCACGTGCAGGCTCGTCTTCTTGAACTGCTCGGCCGCCAGCTGGAAAGGGAAAAACCCGGAATTCCGGGAATTCTGCAGGGGTTCGGGGGGAAAAGTCTGGAATTCCGGGAATTCTGCAGGGGTTCGGGGGGAAAAAATCCGGAATTCCGGGAATTCTGCAGGGGTTTGAGGGAAAAACCCGGAATTCCGGGAATTCTGCAGGGGTTTGAGGGGAAAACACGGAATTCCGGGAATTCTGCAGGGGTTCGGGGGGAAAAAATCCGGAATTCCGGGAATTCTGCAGGGGTTTGAGGGAAAAAATCCAGAATTACGGGAATTCTGCAGGGGTTCGGGGGGAAAACCCGGAATTCCGGGAGTTCTGCAGGGGTTTGAGGGGAAAACCCGGAATTCCGGGAATTCTGGAGGGGTTCGAGGGAAAAAATCCAGAATTACGGGAATTCTGCAGGGGTTCAAGGGAAAAACACGGAATTCTGGGAGTTCTGCAGGGGTTCGAGGGAAAAACCTGGAATTCCGGGAGTTCTGCAGGGGTTTGAGGGAAAAAAATCCAGAATTACGGGAATTCTGCAGGGGTTCAAGGGAAAAACCCGGAATTCTGGGAGTTCTGAAGGGGTTTGGGGGAAAACCCGGAATTCTGGGAGTTCTGCAGGGGTTCAAGGGAAAAAACCCGGAATTCCAGGAATTCTGCAGGGGTTCGGGAGGAAAACCCTGAATTCCGGCATAACTGGGGATAAATCCAGGATAAATCAGGGATAAATCTGGGATAAATCCGGGATAAATCCAGGATAAATCAGGGATAAATCTGGGATAAATCCGGGATAAATCAGGGATAAATCCGGGATAAATACAGGATAAATCCGGGATGGATGGGGCTAAATCAGGGATAAACCCGGGCTAAATCCGGGCTAAATCCGGGATAAATTTGGGATAAATCCGGGATAAATTTGGGATAAATCCGGGCTAAACCCGGGCCAAACCCAGCCTGTCACTCACCCTGCGGCTGCGGTTGTGCTAAACCCGGGATGGATGGGGATGGATGGGGATAAATGGGAATAAACCCGGGACAAAGGAGGATAAATCAGGGATAAATCCAGGATAAATTTGTGATAAATCCGGGCTAAATTTGGGATAAATCCAGGATAAATCCGGGATAGATCCAGCCTGTCACTCACCCTGCGGCTGCGGTTGTGCTAAACCCGGGATGAATGGGGATAAATCCAGGATAAACCCGGGATAAATTTGGGATAAATCCAGGCTAAATTTGGGATAAATCCAGGATAAATCCGGGATAAACCCAGCCCCACTCACCCTGCGGCTGCGGTTGTGCTAAACCCGGGATGGATGGGGAAAAATGGGAATAAACCCGGGATGGATGGGGATAAATCCAGGATTAATTTGGGATAAATCCAGGATAAATTTGGGATAAATCCAGGATAAATTTGGGATAAATCCAGGATAAATTTGGGATAAATCCAGGATAAATTTGG